GCCTACATGTTGACGAAATCCCAAATCTGGACCTCTTTCATGAGCACTGTATCCCAAATATTTATTTTAAGTTCCCCCTTCTTCCCTACCTGCTCGGAATTTCCATTTGGATGTCAGTCATCTCACACTCAACATGTGTAAAACCAGAATCTTATTTCCCTTTCCTAAACCTATTCCTCAAACCATTTCTCCTTCCAGCTGATGGAAATTCACATTTCCAATTACTTAGTCCCCAAAACTTGGTGTCATCTTCAACTTCTCTCTCTCTCTCTGTTGGACCTTATATCTAGTTCATCAACAAGTCTTGTCCCTTCTACCATCAAAATATATTCAGAATCTGACCACTTTCACCCTCTCCACTGCTGCCACCCTTATCTATTCCACCATCTTACCCACCTTGATTGCAAGCTCCTAACTGAGCTCCCTGCCTCATCCCTTGCTCCCCTCTGGTCTGTTCTCTACTGAGCAACCAACATGGATTTTTGGTCACTTCTCTGACTTCAAGTCCTGCAACTATGCCTCAAAAACATCCTTCTCACACCACACTTGTTGCAAAGCCATCAGACTAGTTTTCCCCAACCCCAGCTTGAAGCATTCTTTTACTATTCATGACTCACCCTCTCACTTTTTTTGGGTCTTTGCTCAAATATCTTCTTATCAGGAAGGGCTTCTCTTAGTATTCTATATAAAATAGCTCTTCTCCATCATCCTTTTCCCTGCTTTACTTTTTGTTGATGACCCTTTTTTTTTTTTTTTTCCCACAGAGACACGCTTTGTAATCCAGGCTGGAGTGCAGTGGCATGATCTGGGCTCACTGTAATCTCCACCTACGGGGTTCAAGCGATTCTCGTGCCTTAGCCTCCTGAGTTGCTGGGACTACAAGTGCGTGCCACCACACTAAGCTAATTTTTGTATATGTATTTGTTTTTTTTGTTTTGTTTTGTTTTTTTGTTTTAGTAGAGACGGGGTTTTACTGTGTTGGCCAGGTTGGTCTTGAACTCCCTACCTCAGGTGATCCACCTGTCTCGGCCTCCCAAGCTGCTAGGATTGCAGGCATGAACCACTGCACCTGGCTGACCCTTTGTTTTTCTTATCACGTCTGACATTACTCGTATATTTTTTCTTTGGCTTCAGAATGACAGATAAACTTTATTGACTCATGCATGGCATTACTTGTTTATTTAATTAGCTAGTTGTGTGTTTGTTTTTGATAGATAGCTGTAAACTCACCATTCAACATAGAAACTAGAAGCATAAATCATTTTATATATATGTGTGTGCACGTGTATACATGTATATGTATATATGTGTATAGATATAATTTTAACAGCACGGTGGCTCATGCCTGTAATCCCAGCACTTTGGGAGGCCGAGGCGGGCGGATCACGAGGTCAGGAGATCGAGACCATCCTGGCTAACACGGTGAAACCCCGTCTCTGAAAAAAGTACAAAAAATTAGCCGGGCGTGGTGGCGGGCAAAAAAAAAAAAAAGTACAAAAAATTAGCCGGGCGTGGTGGCGGGCGCCTGTAGTCCTAGCTACTCATGAGGCTGAAGCAGGAGAATGGCATGAACCCAGGAGGCGGAGCTTGCAGTGAGCCGATATCGCGCCGCTGCACTCCAGCCTGGGCAAGAGTGCAAGACTCTGTCTAAAAAAAAAAATAAATGAAAATAAAATTAAAAATTAAAATTAAAATATCAATAAATTTTTTTTCACTGCCACTCCAGACTCAACTAGCATGTAAGCTACATGCGTCCAAGGACTTTGTTTTGTTCCTTCTGTATACACAGCATGTAAAATAGTGCCTAACACATAGGTACTTGAAAATAAAGTAAGCACTGCATATTTATATATTAATGTTTTCAACAATAATGTAACTATTGACATGTCCCAAAGCAGGGGACACATCTTTACCTCTGTTCTGTCCGACCTTCCCTCTCTACAGTCCTTTCTTTGACTTCGCTCCCTAGAAGCATGAACTGCGGTGAGCACTTTCTCCCTGCCTTTGCTTGTACTGTCTTCTACCCCTGACATTGCACCCCCAACCCTTTGGCTTTAGGATGCCGGTACAATTCCTTTTTCCAGACGTTCATGAGTCACTTCCAAATGCTTTCTCTGTCAATCTGATGATTATGTGTCTTGGGGTTGATCTTGTCATGGAGTGTCTTACTGGGGTTGTCTGGATTTCCTGAATTTAAATGTTGCCCTGTCTCGTTAGGTTGGTGAACTTCTCCTGGATGATGTCCTGAAGTATGTTTTCTCCAAAGGCATAAGCTCCTTGAAATTCAGGAAGCAAGTCCAAGACTTCACCCTGGTCTTATTCCACAGCCCTATAGGGTGAATAGAAGCAGGCATTAGATACCCAGCTCACACGTGGAGAAACTGAAGTACACTCCATCATTTCCGAGCAGGAGCAATAGCTCAGAGCCCCCCAGAACTCCTCTTCAGACCTCCTATTTAATAGTACCTTGGGGAGGGGGCTGCTTCTCTGTGGCTTCAGCAAATCTTACTATAAAGCCTTGTGCCCCTCCGAAGGTAACCATGGATACTATTGAGCTGGCACAAAAGCCTTCAGTTAATGGAGACTACAAGTGGTTTTCAGGGACTGAAGGAATTTTCAGGGGAGGGCCAAAACCTGGAAACACTTGCAAAGGGAAGACTTTTGCCTCAGGCCCGTTGACTGGGTGTGTTTCAGTTAAGGTGGGCACTTATGTTCAGAGGAGCACTGGAGCAGTGACAGGGCTCTAATCTGGGACTAGGATAGTAACTAGCTGTGAGGTGAGAATCAAAGGGAATCCCAGGCGCTTTTTTTCTTGGGAATCAGGGACCCTGCTGTGAAATCTGGAGCGGGGTTGTTGGGGGGTTGAGGGGTTGACCAAAGCGATGCCAGCAGCAACCCAGTCTCCTGAGTGAACCAGGCCAGGGTCTGCAAACAACCGGGTGTCCTGGCCCCAGTCAGGGGGAGCTTCCAGCAGCGCCAAGTCCCTATCCTCATCTCTGCCCTCGGGGGTGTTTTTCTCCTTTCAGCCCAGGGCTACAGGCAGGCAGGAGAAATTCACCCCCGGAATATATCGAGAAGGCGCCTTATTTCCTCTGAGCCCTTGCTGAGTGTCGAGAGGGTGCTCACGTCGCTCCTCCGACCCCAAGAGTCCACAGTGTTCCCTCACACCCTTTATTTTGAGACGATGCCCATGCGGTGAGCGGGAACCCCTCTGTTCCCCGGACCCGCGCGGAGCTGGGCCCTAACTTTGCAGTTCCCGCCGCAGCGGCACGCCCCACCGAGGTGGGAGCGGGAAGCCCAGCCGCACCGAGGCTCAACTCCGCCAGGTGCAGAGTGGGTGCGGGTCAGGGCCAATGAGAGAGTGTGTGGCCAAGCCTGCTGCTTTCCTGAACAGAAATTCTCCGGGGAGGGAGAGAAGAGGAGGGTGCGGGAGATGGACTTGGAGGCGAGAGGTGGCGGCAGTTTCCAGGAGCTTTGACGTAGACTTGGAGAGGCGCCGAGCACTCCCACTGCTTAAGTAGAGGCACGGTAGCCTCCAGGACGCGGAAGCTGGGGACAGCCACTCGCTCAGGAGCAGCCTGAGCGTTTCCTCTCCGCGCACTCGAGGGAACTCTCTCCACGCGTTCGAGGAAACCCGGAAGGGGCCAGGCGGGTGAGTGCGGAGGTAGCCCTTGTGCCATCTGGGAGTAGAGCCGCCGAGTCAGGAGGTGAGTGGGGCCCAAAGGACAGAGCGGGTCCCAGGCAGCTCCGCCCTGCGGAGGGTGAGGCTGTGGAATCAAGTGCGGGGCCGAGACTCAGCGCGCGGCTCGTAGCGGGGTGCACGGAGGACTCCAGGTTCAAGGAACTCAGAGAAACATATTTTCAGGGTCTGGGAAGCCTCTCCTAAAATTTAGAAGGGGACCTAAAGGAGCCAATTTGAGCGCCGTGGCGCCAGCAGACAGGGAGTCCCGGATAACGCCAACTTCAGTACCTTGGACAGAGTCCTGCTCTCTGAAAACTTAGACTTGTCCTTTAGGAAAACCACCCTTCAAGGTACCTCGATATTTTAGTTTGGAAAGGGACCCAACAAATATGATTTCAAGTAGAGATAATGCATATATGATGTGAAAGATAGAGGAAATAGTTTTTGAATACTCTTGTATCTCTAACATGCTTCTTCAATATAGGAACATGCATGTTCAAAGACACTTTCTGAAATATTTATTGAACAGTACCTAAACATGTCCTACTGCTGTTCAGAAGAGACAGACTATCCATCTTATGGTGTTATCATTAAATGTTCCAATATAAGAGTATTCCCATAAGCTGTATTTTGCTTGCTTTCATGATACTAATGTCTAAAGGTTTGGAAATATAGTGCAAACCTGAAAGTAAGCAGCATGTGCCCTTCTTATTTTTTCTTTATGTTAGAGCTGTTTAAACGTGATATACATTTTGTATAGTCTGTGAGGGAATGGATACACTTTTTCTGGCAAAACGTGAACTTTTAGATTACTCTTATTTTAAGAGCATCATTTATCATTGCACTTGTCTGAAGTGGTAGCAAAAGAAAAACTTCAAAGTGGTCTGTGGATGCCCTAATTTTATGGCAAGACATTGGAAGCCAGAAAAGTTGAATGAGAGTCACATTTTTTAAAAAATCCTTGAGATTCATAGCAATAATAGAGAAATTATAAAACATTATCTTTATGAAGGTTATATCAGAATTGCAGAACATTTTAGGTATTTGTAAAGTGCTTATTGATTCTACTCTAATTGGTTGAATATATGTCTCTTTGTTTCCACATATATTCATCCATACTTTTAGCACATTGTCTTGTGTTAATTTCACTATAACATTTGACAATTCTAATGTATTTTTTAAAAAATTAAAAGTCACTGTGAACAGGAATGCATCTAAAGATTAAATATATTTAAATTCTTAATTATATGTAAGTCCTAGATTAGGCGAGCCAGGCTTCACTAAGATATTATGGAATAGTTAAAGCCATGCAGCAAAATTTTAAATGTTCACTTAGTATTCTTTTAGATTGCATTCTTCTGTACTAGGGAAAAACAGATTAGCAGATTAATTCATTCATCTTGTAAAGGAACACATCTTAGGAGTGAATATTTCTTGGCCTATCTTGGATTTATGCTCACTCCCTGGCCTGGCACTGAGTCATTTTAGATAGAATGGAGCTTGTGATATGGGAGCCTGGCTAAGATTTCCCTACTTTGCGACAATGATGTGTTTCCTTTGCTGGAATTAAGGTTCTTAAGGGCATACTTATTTTCTTTACTGAGTGGAGCATAAGCGGGAACTGATATGAAATATTTCCATCCTGTGCAGTTTTAGGGCCATGGCTGATCCTGGGAACAGAGGAGGGATCCACCACCCCTTGAGCTTCACCTGCTCCCTGCTCATTGTGGGAATGTGCTGTGTATCTCCTTTCTTCTGCCATAGCCAGACAGACCTGCTGGCTCTTAACCAAGCTGATCCTCAGTGCTGGGAATCCTCCTCAGTGCTTCTCCTGGAAATGCGGAAGCCTCGCATTTCCAACACTGTTTCGGGCTTCTGGGATTTTATGATCTACCTGAAGTCATCTGAGAACTTGAAGCATGGAGCACTGTTTTGGGATCTGGCTCAACTCTTCTGGGACATCTATGTGGACTGTGTGCTCTCTAGGAACCACGGCTTAGGAAGGAGGCAATTGGCTGGAGAGGAAGAGAAAATCTCAGCAGCACAGCCACAGCACACAAGGAGTAAACAAGGTGGTCAACCCCAGCTCCCATGTCTTTTGAAAGGGTCAATCAAGTATCAATGTGCTGAATTGTGAGGAAGAGGGAAATGGCATTAGGGGAATCCAATGTCATATATATTCCTCTCAAGAGGTGAACCCCAAGAGCACACAACTGATAGGAAGATAGATAGTACTTCTTTTTGCACTGCGTAGTAGCTGTTTATATCAACATATTGTCCTTTTCCTCATACTTCCTGTGAACAGCAGCAAGGAAGAGTCAGAAAGAAAAGACAAAAAGCACGATTCCCAAAATACAACAAAAAAGTATAAACAGATCCCCCAAGATCAACATTATTTTTTACTATTAGCCTGAACACTAGCAGTCATAACCTGGTGTTTACTTGCTGTGGAATTGAGAAGACTTGAATATAAGCTTAGGAAACATTTGGAGCACATAAACTCTTGCCCTTGTTAAACTGAAAATAAACATTGCTTTCATGTAAATAGAGAGGCTCTTTGAGAGGCATTCGGTTGAGGAAATAAAGAGTAAAAAAGTCAGCTGGCATGTAGATTCACTTCATGTTGCTTTTTGAATGACTCTCAAATAAGTAATTAACTTGCAGCAATCTGAGTAATTAATTTTTAGTAAGTTGGAACTTGCTACAAATTTAGAGTTTTTCATTGAAGTAAATACTATATTCAAATAGTCTCATCTGAGGGCACAGAAAAAAAAATCCCTTATAGAATTAGAATGAGGTTGAGTAAGCTTCTTTGAGTAAGCAGAGAGATGCCTAAACCCTATACATATTATTTTTATCCTTTTTTGATGTCATTTCAACCAATGAGCATTGAAACCTTGTATCAAGGGCTGTTTGAGTGGCAATAACTCTTTAGAATTATATAAACAACTAGAAAACAGGGGCAAAACTAATTTTTACATTTGTACATTTTAGTGTTAGAATTGTTACATATTCCTGTAATCTCCATATTAAAATAGCAATTAACAATGGTAGTTCTAGTGCTACTATTTCCCAAGGTATTTTAGAGCTTTTATATATCTAGTTTGTTTTAACCTTAGTAATTAAAAATCCTCATGATTTGCTGATCCAAAAAACCCAGATAACTCATGGCTATTATTGACAGATAAGTTTATTATTTTGGTGTTATTGTAACTCAAACCAATTTCATTTTTAGAGGAAATGTTATTTCAGCAGCCTTGCTACTAAAGTAGAAATACCAAATGAATATTTTTAAATGTTGATCACCCATATTTTAAAAATATTTTGAACAGAGGCTGCCCAGGCATCAGCACCAGTAAGGACTGTATATTTTTAAATTCTGTACTGCTGAGGATGATCTGTAGGGCCTTTTCTTCCATATTTTAAAAATCATATTAACTGTCTTACTCAAATCACCAGCAATATTTTTTCTATCTTGCACTCACTTTGAATAACTCAAAGAAATGTCTACTACGTAAATGAAAATATTATTGGTATTTGGCTGAACATGAAAATGTTACATATATATGTGTGTGTGTGTATATATATACACATATATATACACACAAAAATATATATACACACTTATTTTATAAAGCTTTTCTCCAAAATGTTATATATATATATGTGTGTGTGTATACACACACACACAGTAAGTATATATATATACACACACACACACACACATTTATTTTATAAAGCTTTTCTCCAAGACAACTTCAGATTTGGAAGCCACTTCCTTCGTCTTGCTACAGAGTTGTTAGTGATTCAGCTGGTCTGCAAACTTTAGGGAATTGGTATGCAAGTAGCCAAATAGCAGGAGTGAGCGTTTCACTTTATTGAGGTTATTTTAACGTTTGACACAAACAATTGTTTGCAGACCAAGAAACAAGACTTTCCATTTGGTTTGCATAATCACAGTCAAAGAGGGTCTTGGGTCAAGGAAATACCACGTCCAAAAGTTAAATAGTTACAGGAACATTGAGATTTCATCTCAAGAGGTTTGCTTAAATCTCTAGTGGTTCAACTGGGCTCTGAATGTACCTGCATGGATCCTCCAGTATGTTTTTCTTTTGTCCCTGGGGGATAATATGTTGTTAGGTTGGGACAGGAGAGAAGGTGAAGCAGTGCTTGTCTCTGTAGTTCTCAAGGAAATCACATCATCAGGGCAGAAGACAAGAAGAACTAAAATAAGTGTCTACGTAATATGCAAAAAGGTTCTTGTTATTTTGATATCTTCAAATCAAATAGTTTAAATGCACTTGATAAATCTTACTATGAATCACACTTTGTTAAAAACATAAAACTCCTATATAATTTTGCATGTTAATATGTCATATTTGTTAATACTGAGTCAACAAATATGAAAACAAAAAATATCAAATAACTGTGTAACCATGAGCAAGTTAACTAACTAATTTAGCCCTCAGTTCTTTCAACTGAAAAAGAAGTGTATGGAAAGTAGATGACACACAAAGTCCCATCTTTTCGGTTCCAATGTACTGTGATTATATAAAAAAGAAACTTACGAAAGGCACTTATTTAACTGTGAGAAGAACCTGGAAGAGCTTCACCCCAAGGACAGTTGATGGAGCTGGATGATGACCTGAACACCATGGCTGTTTGTAACAATGATGAGCAGGAACAGACGAGGTTCAGAAATAAAAGGGCTAGAGATGTCATTATGAGAAAAACCTCTAAAGATCATTGTTATTTAGTCTAGAAAGACATGGGCTAATAGCTGAAGGTTGAGGTATCCAAGAGAAGGTATGAAGAGGATGTACCCAGAGTTAACTAGTTAACCACTAAATTTTGATGGGTTATGTCATGGGAGAAAGAGAGAAAGGGTGAGTGAGAGAGAGAGAGAGAGAGAGAGAGAGAGAGAGAGAGAATTAGGGAAGGAGCATATTGATGACTCCTAAATAGAACATAACAGAATTGAGAGTAACTCGTGGGTTAGTAAAGGCTTCAATGCAAATGAAGAAATTTTGTGTCAAAAATGGTGGCTCCTCCTTCAACAAACCTTGCTATGCCACTGGGAGGCACAAAAAGCCCACTTTCCTGAGCCTGGCAGTTTGTATGTTCTAGAAAAATAGTGAGTTTGTTTTCCTCTGTGATCAGAAAATTAAAATTTAGATTTGTAATCTGATGGTGTTTGCAGCTGGTGTCTCACTAGCTGCCAAATGCTCATAGTGCTTATATTTTAAACACTAACTACAAGAGAAAACAATTGTTCAGAAACATAAATAGACTCTCAAATGCTTGATTTTCTACTTCACCCATTCCAAGAAATTTTCTAAGCCACATACTCAGCAATTACCCATCTAGAAATCTACTGTGAAGAAACATTTAGAGCTGCAGCCAATGATGCAATCCAAGGCTATTCATTGCAATATTATTTATAGTAACAGGAAACCTGGAAATAATCTAAATGTCCCAAGATAGAGTAGTGGTTAAATAAGTTATAGTATAAAGTGTGCATACACAAAACTATGGTTCTCTCTAGGAGGTTATACTATGGGTGGTTTATATTTTTTTCTTCATATTTATATTTAAAAATATATAATGACTTCACTTTTTTAAAATCAGGCAAATATTTTAATGCCTATTAATTGACAAAAATGTATTTATTATAATGTATTTGTTTTAGATTATATACCTAAACTACATAGGACACAAGACTTTGCACAAACACACATTGACATATATTCCTCTGAAATCAGTTTATAGAGAAGTTTTATATTGGAGTGGCAGAAACATCAAACCTGCCTTTTAAAAATAATTTATTGATATTTAATTAACCTGAAACTAATTTGGTGATCTTATGAAGTTCCACTTTTCTACTTTCAGGTACATATTCTCAGCAACTAAGGACCTCCTTACTAAAGAAGAAAGAGTTGATTGAAGATTTGATAAGCATGCATGTGCGTAGAAGTGGGTCTAGTGTTATTGGAAAAGTGAACCTGGAAATAAAGAGGAAATAAATTGAACTTGGAGCTAATTCATGCTTTGGAATTAAATATACAAATATATAACATTTTTCTTAACTATTGATTATTTATTTATTTTAAATGGTGGGAATGCCCAGAGATAAATAAACCCAAATTCTCTCAGTATGCTTATTTAAAGCTGCTTTCTATTATTTATTTCTTTATTTATTTTAGGCTGCTAGCATGTTTCTTCAAATGCTGACATTACTGCCAGTCTATCCCACAGTCTAAAGGAGTTAAATGACTTCCAGAGATGACTTGGGGATTCTTTGTATCCATTTAATAGTTCAGTTTGGGATGCTTGACATGTTAATAAACTAGTGTGCCATACATTTAACTTGAATACACTGCATGGCTCCCAAGACTGTAACCACTGGATTGCTTATGCATAGGCACGTAAGGGACGATATTTATTAATTACTAGCTACTGACAATCTATGATACCTGAATCTTGTTTGAAAGCATATTTTTGAATACTGAATAAAGCAAAAAGTAAAGCAAAACAAAAAACTGGCAAATAAAGCATTCCTCTAATGAAAACAAAATTAATAAAAGCTCTGGACCCCAGGTAATGTTATTGGAGTCTCTTTATTTCAATATTTAATGTTACCACAAATGACATCTAAACTCTAATAATGTTTAAGTGTAAATAGGTACAAACTATTTCCCAATAAGCATATTTGTTACTTGATTAAATATTATACCTCTATAAGTGTTTACACTTTGCATTGAAAAGCAAAATAAAAGGAACAGCATTATAACAGAAGAACCCATAGATAATTATTTCCCTATAAAATGACCAGGCCTGAACAAGGTTTAAAGCAGAGAAGCCCAATTAGCAAATGTATGTGAGTTTGAGACACAATGCTATTTTTATCTCTAATTATTCCCAACTCTCCAGTCATTCTATTATAACCAATATATAGGATTGACAGCCCGTTTGAATTTCAGATATGTTAGCAGTTCCCTTGCTTTTTTCAGGTCCAAAGGAAGCCTCAGTAAATGTCTTCATTGAATGATTAGGGCCTCCTTAAACTAGAAATTGCATCTAAAGCGTTATTATCAGAAAACACAGTTTCATTTGAGGATTAGCTGAGTCTTAACAACAGGAAAAAGGAGCTTGGAGAAAGAGGTGGGGGAGAAGGCCCAGCCTCAGCTTTTGGCTCACTGGGAAAATTAGTATTTTATTACAAAGCTGCCACAATTTGACTACCTTTTCTACATATGGGCTCGTGATTTTGCATTGATGATGCTTTTTCTAATGTTTTTCATCATATTCTTCAGAACTATCACGTAAATTCATTATCTCTTATAAATCATCAAAGAGACACAACACTCGGAGAATGAACTTGCAGAAGAGCCTGCCCTTTGTTCTTCCCTCACATTGGTACTCTATGACAGGGATTGGCAACCTTTTTCTGAGAGTCTGATAGTAAATATTATAGGCTTTCCGGGCCATCCAGTCTCCACTGTAATTAATCAATTCTGCCTCGGCGAACAAAAGCAGTTATCACAATACATAAATGAATGAATATGGTTATGTTCCGGTAAAACTCTCTTTATAGACACTGAAATCGGAATCCATACAGTTTTCAGGTGCCACAAAGTATTTTTCTTTGGACTTTTTCAATGTTTTAAAAAGATGTAATAATCACACTTAGCTCATAACCTGTTCAAAACAGGGAGAGAACAGAATTTGGCCCAGGGACTACAGCTTGCTGATGAAGCTTATCAAAAGTGTAAGGAACAAGCTGGGATGAAGTGAAAAGAAGAGTAACTCTGCTAAGTGACAAAACTAAAACCAAAAGTTTATGATAGACTGAAAAGCAGATTAAAAACTGTTAGGATGAGATGGAACAGGGATAACCTAGTCCTAATCCCATCCAATGGGACATTATTTCACTCTGTAAACAGTTTCAGGAATTACAGATCATATAAAAATCCACAGCCTCTCTGAATGTAACATGGCCTGCATCTCACGATAGTAGACAAAAACATTGAAATCACCACAATATTTACTGAAAGGAAGTACAGAGTAGTAGTTAGAGTATAGGCTCAGAAGCTGAGTTCAAATCACAGCTTCATCAAGAAGTGGCCAAATCAACTTTGGACAAGTTACTAACCCTCTTTGTGCCTCAGTTTCCTTATAAAATGAGAAACCTACTACCTAGGTTTCGTGTGAGGATTAAATGAGTCAGCACATAGAAAGTGCTTAAAAACTAAGTGCTCTAACAGTCAAAAAAGGTTAGCTATTACTTTGTAAGTTAAGCATCTATAACCTAATCCAACATAATAAGAGAAAGGAGGCACACAGATGCTTTGGTGAAACTTGTTGGATGTGGAGATTTTAGAGAAAAACATTGATATATTAAATTTTTTATATTGAGATACTTGATTCATATACAGTTATAAGAAATAATACAGAGACATCTATATGATCTTCATCTAGTTTCCCCAGTGGGAATATCTGCATAACTATGGTACAATATTACAAGTAGGAAACTGATAGTGGTATAATCCAAATTTATTCAGATGTTACCAGTTTTTTTAAAATTATACTTTATGCTCTAGGGTACATGTGCACAACGTGCAGGTTTGTTACATATGTATACATCTGCCAAGTTGGTGTGCTGCACCCATTAACTCATCATTTACATTAGGTATATCTCCTAATGCTATCCCTTCCCCCTCCCCTCTCCCCCCACCCCACAACAGGCCCCAGTGGTTGATGTTCCCCTTCCTGTGTCCAAGTGATCTCATTGTTCAATTCCCACCTACAAGTGAGAACATGCAGTGTTTGGTTTTCTGTTCTTGCAATAGTTTCCTGAGAATGATGGTTGACAGCTGCATCCATGTCCCTACAAAGGACACAAAGTCATCCTTTTTTATGGCTGCATAGTATTCCATGGTATATATGTGCCACATTTTCTTAATCCAGTCTGTCATTGATAGACATTTGGGTTGGTTCCAAGTCTTTGCTATTGTGAATAGTGCTGCAATAAACATACGTGTGCATGTGTCTTTATAGCAGCATGATTTATAATCCTTTGGGTATATACCCAGTAATGGGATCACAGGGACAAATGATATTTCTAGTTCTAGATCCTTGAGGAATCACCACACTGTCTTCCACATGGTTGAACTAGTTTACAGTCCCACCAACAGCGTAAAAGTGTTCCTATTTCTCCACATCTTCTCCAGCACCTGTTGTTTCCTGACTTTTTAATGATTGTCATTCTAACTGGTGTGAGATGGTATCTCATTGTGATTTTGATTTTCATTTCTCTGATGGTGAGTGATGATGAGCATTTTTTCATGTGTCTGTTGGCTGCATAAATGTCTTCTTTTGAGAAGTGTCTGTTCATATCCTTTGTCCACTTTTTGATGGGGTTGTTTTTTTCTTGTAAATTTGTTTGAGTTCTTTGTAGGTTCTGGATATTAGCCCTCTGTCAGATGAGTAGATTGCAAAAATTTTCTCCCATTGTGTAGGTTGCCTGTTCACTCTGATGGTAGTTTCTTTTGCTGTGCAGAAGCTCTTTAGTTTAATTAGATCCCATTTGTCAATTTTGGCTTTTGTTGCTGTTACTTTTGGTGTTTTAGACATGAAGTCCTTGCCCATGCCTATGTCCTGAATGGTATTGCCTAGGTTTTCTTCTAGGGTTTTTATGGTTTTAGGTCTAAATGTTACCAGTTTTACATGCACTCAGTTGTGTGTGTGTGTGTGTGTGTATGTATTTATTTGCTAAGCCTATTCTCTAGCTGAAACATCAAGATAGAAAATTAGGCCATCGATTCAGTAATTTACATGATACTTGAGGAAGACTGTTTCATGCATCCATGTAGGTCGCACACTTGAATGTTACCCCGGAGGTATTCACAGTAAGAATGGCCCTTCATGCAGAGATCTGACTCTGCCATTTACTCCTTCCTTCTTCATCCTTTACTCGCCCCCCTAACCCCCAGACTTTACTCTGAACTGCAGAACTAAGATACGTAAGTAGGGAGGGAGATCAAAAAACAAAACTTGCTTTCTTCATAGTTCACACCAAACTATTAAAAGAAAGGTAGAAGTCTTAATTCTTTTAATACAGTTGTGCAACTGCATTTTGTCATCACACCAAGAAGCCTTTGAGCCTGGACTCCATTTCACTTCAAATTGGGCAAGGTGATTTGATCAACAAGGGCAGAGAAGGCCCTGCACACTTGCTGAGCTCCACTGTACAGGTCCATGTTTACTGAAGACTCTGGGCCTGAAATCAACAAACAGAAGAGTCTTTTAGAGGAACATACCTGCAGGTTCTCGTGAAGATCTTGATAAAGCTCTCACAAGGAGAAGAAACAGAATCCATTTTTCCCTCAGTTCTTGAGGACAATGCCCTTAAGTTAGCTAGCAAATAAGATGGCTATTATTTACCATGATCATTACTACGAATTCAGCCAGGAATAAGTTCTTAAGAACACTTTCCCACAGCTCCTTGCACAAATTGGAGTTGCCAGAAAGCCCACTATTGAGCAGTGGCTCCAAAACTCTGGCGTATATAAAAATCACCTGGAGAGTGTTAAAACAGATTGCTGGATCTCACCTACAGAGTTCAGATTCTGTTCAGGTGGGATGGAGCCTGAGCATTTATATTTATTGTTAAGTTCCCAGGTAATATTGATGCGGCTAGTCCGGACACCACATTTTGAGAAGCAGTGCTCTATAGTTACCTGATTGATTAATGGTTTGAGTGGCCCCTGTGATCTGTCGTAATAGAGATTGTGGTGTAGAAAGATCTATGATTTGGCAGGTATCAACTAAAATTTTGATATGCATAATCTTTAACTTAAAGAGTTCTGTTTTTAGGAATTGATCTTACAAACATATTTACACTTGCGCATAAAGATCCATGTTATAAGGATACACACCAAAGTATTTTTGTGATAAAAATTGGAAGCAACTTATATACCAATAAATAAATTACAGTGCATTTGTACCTTGGTATATTATGCAGCGTTTTAAAAAATGACACGCTCAATGTCTAAGAAGAAAGCAAAAGCATAATATGATCTAAC